CGGGCGTGTGATATACAAAAAAAAACTTAATTTCGTTTTTGCACGTGTCACTAACGCAGTTGCTACCTTTTCTCTTTATATGGTACGCCTCCCACAGTTCACGAGCTGATTTGTTTGGGCTTCTACCTAAATTTTTTTTCTTCCTTTGTGTCCTTGTTTTTTGCCCTGTTTGCCACTGGTATCTAGCACATTAGGAGGCTCCGAAGGATTCCCCACGGAGGCAAATTTACCGATGCAGTAAAGCGCCCGATGATGTCACGTAAAGTTCGGGAACATTACGAAGGCAGTCATTCTCGACCGACAAAAGTCACAGTCTCTCTAGGCAGGCGCCGCATCTTTATCTTTTTTTCGCGATCCTTGTGTATTTATTTATCCATGTTGAGACTGAACCAGTGTTGTCTGAATGACAACGTATTCAAGAAGCTGCTGTTGCTTCAGCGCAGTTAACGCAACAATCATTTACGCAATAGAGATAATTGGTCTAGAATAAATACGTACTCTTTCTTGATAAACTGGTGTTCGTCGGCGACTACAGTGATACGCTTTTGCTACAGTGCTATACAGCATATTGCTACGTGCACTGGCACGTAGCAATATGCTACAGTCAAATGTTTTTGCAAGTTTCAATGCGCTGAAACAATCAATATTACCCTGCGCCTAAGGAAGGTCTCTTCAGAACATCAGTATTCCCGAAATGAATAAGATATTCAAGTATTTGTATTCTTGCTTCTGTATTCCTGCATCTGTATTCCACGTAGTTGTTACATCAAAAAACATTTTGGAAATATTCCAATACGTCAAAGACAAATCCATCTCACTATCTGTATTTTAGGCTCCCAGTATTTTGTATAGATACCTGTATCATAGAATATTTTTCTAAGTAAGTCTGCCTATCCCTCGTGTTCTAGCCACCACGGAGTGTTCAGCACAGAGCAAGTGTTTTACCACGAAGACATGCGCCAGTTCTGGAAACTACTTTGTAAAGGAACTGGTTATATGAATGTCCGCAGTTTCCTTAGCACATTCATCTAATAATGAGTGGCAGAATCGCATATATAGTATCGCAGCAGGCGTGGAACGAAACAACATGAGTTTAGTGACGAGAGGGTGGCTTCAAGCTACCCGCCCATGATAAGGTGTATAGCTGGGCGTGTGCTCGCCGCACCAGACGGACGCGTACTGGCCGGGTACCTTACCAATTTGCAAAAGGCAGAACTATGGCGCAGTGGGCACTTCGCAGCCGTACATCCGCAAGACATTGTGTGACTGTTTCAAAAGGCAAACGTTACGCAAGCAAAAGTTCCTTTTCTTGCGGCATTGTTGATCGCACTGATGATGATCCTCGTGGTTCATGAGGCTATGCTGAAGCGTCCTCCGAATTTCGGGAGCGAATTACCTTATAGACTGCGCTTGTACGACCATCTGCATCTGGCCTTCACAGAAAGTTTCATGAATGTGAGACTCACACAAAGAAATAAAGCTTAACAATAGACTAATATGAATCGTAATTGTGGCAGAACAATATTTAACACCTACAAGCACAAATCTTTTATAGTCGGTGACTTTAACGCACACGCGCTTCAAATATACCAATGTCTATCCTCGCCATTCTTGAATAGATATTAACTGTCTCTCACTCGTGGCACATACCTACCGATGTGAATTAAAAAAAGGTTTCAATAAACGAATAACAATCATAATTGTGACTCAGCAATATAAGACACCTATGACACAAATTTTTTATACCAGTCGGTGACTACAATGTAGACATTATAAGGACCTAGCTTTGTCACTGACATTTTCGGTCATTTTATGTCACTCGTATACATTATGTAGGGCAATACTCGGGCAATGTATGGATCTCACCGAGACGATAGCCAGAGCTTCGCCTACCTGTCATGATTCGCTTCCTGGAGATGCGTGGGTTTTTAAGGACGAAACCTCTTGGTCTAGGGCATTCTCGTGTCCCTCCGGCATAGTCAGCGCAGCATATCTGCAGGTAGACAGACAGATAGACAGAAAAACGGACACTTCACCCCACGCATCATCGTTCACTCCGTGGATATGCTGTGATTTTTTGTATTTGTGTGAGCCGTTGGATTCGAGTTGCGTTCTAATAGTGAAAAACGAATTTCGGGGGAGGGAGTACACGTAAAGAAATTCTATTTACGATAAATCGTGATTACTTTGCAAAGATATTCAATCGCATTTGTGAATAAAGCAGTCGTAACTACAGTTAACTGCTTCTTCTGTAACATGTACCATCGGCGCCAATTGTTTAAAGACTACTTGTCTGAGAAAACATTAATTTCCCAGCAATTTGGGACTGCGTTCAGTTGAAATTCATAGTACGTGCTTGCGCGTTTATGAAAATGCCTGAAGCCCTAATTCATGCTGTCTGCGGAAGCACCTGAAATATAAGGCTTTTTTGCATTTCATGGTCTGTAAGTGTTACAGAACTGTACAAATATTCTCGCTTCTGAAGGCAACGGCTTGTTTCTGAGCTCTAATTTCGCTTTCAATGAATGAATAGACTTTATTTAAAGTCCCGCAGTTTTTACCGGGCGAGGTGGGGGAAGAGGGCGTTAACCCCTGTTTCTCCCCACCCTTCGTTTATTGTGTTAATTCTTCTGCGTAAACACTAAAAGGAAACGGCAGATTAGAACGGACTGCAGAACATTCGACAGCCATTCACAAATCATGAACGGTGGTTTATCACTATACCTCGAGTGGAAGATATGCGTAACAGCTGCATATTACCGGTACTTACCTACGTTGCAGCAACCCGAAGGCAAACTAGGTTCAACTACAGCCAAGGATGACGCTAAGAAAAAATGATAGGTGCAACCTTAAGCGACAGGAAGAGAACAGAGTGCATCAGGTAACAAATGGGTGCCAAGGACATCTTTGTTGAAATCAAGATGAATAAATGGGCATGAGTATAGCATGTAGCCTGAAGGCAAGATAACCGTTGGTCATTAGGAGTCCCAGAATGGATTACAAGAAAGGCAAACGCATGATGGGGACACCAAAATTTAGGTGAGCAGACGGGATTAGATGTTTATGAATACAACGTGAAATCAGTTGATTGGTGGATTGTGGGTGAGGTCTTTTCACTGCAGTGGGCGTAGTAAGGCTGATAACGATCATAATTATTATTATGATTATTATATTTTGTGTTTAAGCAGACCTGGTTGTGTCACCTAGCGTTTGACCATCGTGGCACTGCATTAAGCTTCAAATTTCAGCTATTTAAGAATGAAAGCACTCACCTAATCTGGAACATTGCGACGATTCAGACCTTTGCGAAATGCTCGTGCAATTGCGCTAAATTTATATTTAGCTGCTACTAAATGGCTCTACTTGTGAAAAGCCTTCTGACTCAATGAAACGTAACAGACATTTGATGCGTGTTTAGACCGGGTTGATTGGCGGACCACGGGAGAGGCCTTTGCCCTGCAGTGGGCTTAATCAGGCTGATGATCATGATGATGTAGTGGGAAGATATTCTCTCCTGTTTTTCGAAAAATTAATGTAAGAATAAAATGATCCCCACACTGTAAACAATAAGAAAACACATAGTCGGGAAGTCACAAAAAAGATCAAGGTTTATTTCCTTCTTTAAAATGAGGCCGCTGTAATCGAGGAAAAGTGAAAAGCCGACTCGTGTAGCTAGAATAAACTATGAAAATTCAATTATTTATGAAATCTATCATTCATAACGTCGCACTTCAAACGTACAAGGAATAACTTCTCAGAAATACGTTCAGATGTACTGTGAAGTCTTATATCTTCACGACCAATATATCAGAAATATTGCTATCAAGACCCCACTTTGATAACAACAAGAACGCTTACTCTTGCTTCCCAAACAACTTTCTTGATAACGTCATTCATGCCGTCAGCCCAAACAGCACACAAGAACTTGGCCAGAGCTGCACTCCACGGCGTTGCTAATGTGTTCATGCTTACCACTACGCACACAACAGCTGAAAAGAGAGACAGACAAACTGTAACGCTAGAGGCAACCTGTAATGACACAGTGGACCCTTTGGATTTACATGAAGCAACGTGCCCTCTCATAAAAATAGGCTCTAGGAATAATCATATAGGCATTCTCCGAAAGCCACATTCATGACAATTTATGCTAATACCCGTATCCAAAAAGCCGGTCATTCTCTATATGGAGAGCAGCTTGCAATTGAACTTAATATTCTCGATGCATTTTTTAGTTAAACAATCAACTATTATGACAGAAAAAGTTGCTAAGAGCTCGTGTGACCAATGCCTTTGATTAGGTACACACAGCCACACAAAATAATTGACGCCCTTTCCAAGATGTTGAACGTTGAACGTTGACTTAGTTTATATTTGCGCTGCAGGCGTTAGAGTTCAAAATGCTTAGCGCTGGCCTCAACAAAAATGGTGGCACTTAGCTCAGGTATGCTGAGGGGCGGCCGTAGAATATGATCTCCAACAGAAACTAATTAAGAATGGAAACCCGCGCACTGTCACAGAATGGACTTACTTGAATGAAGACGACGTTTACATTCCCTGCCAATTTTATTTGTACGCAAGTGGGTTTTCTGAATTTGCGGATATGTTTTGCAGATGCACTGTTACATTCTGTCGAATTCACTGTAAGAAAAGGACGCCATCCCACAGGGTGTGATACCCTTGGGTTACGTCAAGTTTGTAATTGCCACGCTTTTCGACATTCATCCAGACGACAAACTTAACGCACCTTGCGTACACAGCGAGTTGAACGTACATGTTTTGGCTACTTCGCTGTCTTAAATTTTAAAACACCGACACATTCTTACACTTCAACGTACGCAGTTGGCTGTACCGTATGGATCAGCAACATGGGTCACATAAAATAGTTTCTTCTATATGTCACACAACAGTGACCGATCTTCTTATACCATGTCATGTTTCTGTCATGAAGGGGTCTCTTGAGTTCTTTACAGCCGGCCGTGTCCTACAAAACCTTAACTTGGCACCACACAGTCTCAGTTCTCACACAAGCCACGGCTGGCAGAAGTCCATCAGTTCCGCATCATCCGTACCGTAGCAGTCCAAGGCGCTTGCCGACGACTCGGACATCTCTGAAGTTTGCAGCCCAGTAGGTGACGACGGAGCATTGTCCTCGCCGATGCGTGAGAAGTCGTAGAAGCCCTCGGCGTCTTCGAAGGACGTGATCCCGTGCCGCCGCTCCTGGTCAGCCTTGTACGAAGTGTCGTCATCGTCATCTTCGACGTCCCTCTCGGAGCCGCCATGCCTCTGTTGACCGGCGCCTCGGTCCAGCAGCTCCTGGAGGGCCTTGATGTAGTCCACCGCCGATCGTAGCGTGTCAACTTTGCTCATCTTCTTGTTCTGCGTGAAGTTGGGAACGTGTTGCCTCAGAGCAGCAAAGCCCATATTGACGAGACGTACGCGGTTGCGTTCCCGCTCATTTCTTCTAGCGACGGCCTGGGAGTAGCCGGAAGACACGACTGGTTGGTGGTGGTACGGAGTCCTTCTCGCGAATCGCAGCACCTCACTCGCCTTGTAATGTTGAGGGTGACCGCTGTGGTGGGTAGGTGACGACGCACTTCGTATCGTCCTGTACGAACTCATGACCACCCGTGTCTCGCACGTCTTGTCGCGGGAGCCAGCTGGTGATGAGAAACTCACTAGTGTCATGAAACGCTTATATCGACATATTTTCCATGCACCACAGGTTTCGATCAGTGGGGGATAGCTTCGGGTTAATCTTGCTCGTTCAAGTCGCCGTTTCTTTACTCACAAGTTACAGTAGTTTTTTTCTTTTTCTCTTTGTCCTTTAAGATCTTCTTAAGCAAATGCGTTCCAGAAAGCTAATCATCAGTAGTGACAATTTGTCAGTAGTTCAAAACCATAAAAAATAGGGCGTTCGAGAGAAATCAAGCCAACCTGCGCTAAGCAATCGGAAGCACCAATCATGTGATCACACCAGGTATTTCTGGTGAACGGTGAACAGCAGCAGCAGCAGTTTTCTTGAATACCAATTTACTTGACAAGTCCCGCGGTCACCCCCGTTCAACTGGCCGAAAGCATAGCTACCAGAAGCGAGCACTTTCTTTAGCGATCGACAAACAGTTCCTTACTTTCGGTGCTTTTGGAGTAGTCTGTATCGAGCGAATGTCACGTACCAACAAGGTTTGTCAGTTCCGCCGTGAAAACTGTCGATGGCGAATGTACTTGAAGGAAGGGTAGAACCACGTGCAATGCGGACGTAAACACGAGCACACCTACACACCCCTGTTGAGCGACGTCAGTACACGTGACGAGACGCACCGCGCCAGTCTCACCACACTCGTCCTGTTCCGGGAGGCAGGCCGGAGCATACACACTGACCAAGTGAGGTGCGGGGTGCGAGACGGGTCGGCGGCTTCCGTGCTGCCTGTCTCTTCGAGGTCTACCGTTCCAGAGGCAAATGCTGCTGCGCTTCGTGCACTCCCTTTCCGATGCAGCCGTGGTCCGCCGGGTGACGGCGACCAGACTCTGTGCTTCAAGAAGCACGCTGCCGATCTGAGCACGCACACGCACACACCGAAGGCAACCTGCGTAGTTATTGTGCACGCGCTTACTACTACTGAACGTGCTTTTCTTTTCTTTGCTTCATTCACTCCGCATGTTTCTTCCCTCCCAGTTCCCAATGGGTGGCCAATGGAAGTCGATCACGGAGACGAGCGTGCAAGAGGAGGGGTCTGCCAAAAAACATGCCCCCCCCCCCTACCACCCGCACCTCTGGCTAACTCCATCCCTCCTCGTCCCGCCCCCCTAGTTGCGTGTTCAGCCCCCCCTTCCTTACTTTCTTACCCCTCGACCCCCCCCCCCCCCTTCTTGCCATGTAACTGCCTTGCAGCCACGTTTTCACTGAAGCGATCGCGTGCCTCGTCCTTTTGTTTTAGCTGCCAGGCCACCATGGGGATCTCTGCGTGCGCGTTTTCTCTCGTGACTTTTGCCGCGCACCCGCCGCTAAAGCACGCCCCCCCCCCCCACCCCCCCAACTCCGTCACCCCCGCCTCCCCCTCCTCCTGCATCTGTGAAACCATGCTGCTTCCCCACTCCTTGCAAGCGGTACCTATGCTTGCCATCCAAGTCGTGAGGGAAAGATACGCCTGCAATGTCAGAAGGGGGGTAGTGTTTACAAGCGAGGTTGCGGGGAGGGTCATACGTGGCTTCAAATGGGCTGCTGCATCGCCGATATCATCCTGTTCGATGCGGACTGGAACGAAACAAACATGCAGCTCCGTTGATTGGGTCACGCCGACTTGTTGGGCTCTGCTCCGTGGAACGCGGATGGTACGGTCGCATAAAGGGTGCCGTGAAATTCGTCTTGAAATAATTATTTTTGTAAACATATCTACTTGCTTCGTTGCCCATTCTTCTGAACCACAACGTAAATACAATATTTATTTCTGTTCTCAATGGGGCCACACCTTTTTTTTTTTCATTCGCGTACTGATTTTATGCTTTCATTTACAGCCTAATAATTGTCTGAAGATGGTTTTAGATTGATATGCTTGTGCAATCATGGTCTTTCATTATTACACAGAAGGCAATATGGGGCTGAAACAGGGAGTTGTTCATGTACGAGAACATTATATGTCGCTGAGCGTGTCGCAGCAAATTTAATACTGAGATGAAATATTATTACGTTTACAGCTGCCTTATGTCTGCGAGTGTACTGCGGCGGCTTATGCGGTCGCAACGGTGCATGACCATATTGTGATCTCTCAGACGAGTTTAACTTGCCGAGTCAAATGTAATGTGAATCGCGTCGCATTTGATGTTTTCTTTTCACATAACTGCTAAAAGCAATCTGAAGAATTTCCTCCACCGATCGACTACGACCGCTCCGCGTCACCACTTTAATTGGGCGCAGAGAACACTTAGCTCTGAAACTGGTCAACAAATAATTAGCTTGCAGAGTGCTGCCACCTGTCAACGAACGTAAAAACAAGCAGCGCAGCGCTGGAAGGCGAATAGCGGGTCTGTGCGGCTTCTCGTGCACAATGTTATGGAATTCATGCACTACAAAAGCATAGATTAAGGCTATATAACAAGTAAAACAAGTTGATTTTCAACTGAAAAGGTGGGACGATAACATTCAACAATCGTATATACGCGTCTACAGAAAACCTCGCGAGAGCTTAAGGGTGTACGCTGTGGGCTATCATTGAAAGCGCTAGTTGCCACTTATTGTCACGAAAGCTTTGCGTCTCGCAAAAACGAATCAAATTCATCGTGTCACAGATGACCCAATTTGTTCACTGATGCAGGAAACACGAATAGTCATAGTGTTTGTTTCTTGCTAACGCCTCGTTAACATTGAGGCTACTAGCACAGCCAAACAAGTGAGCGACTGTGCAGTGCCACAGAACACCTACCAGGTAGTGCTGTCGTTGCGTCGTCTACTGACCCTCCTCGAGAGGCCGCTCATGAAGTCCGCTTGGTGGCGCGGCAGTCTATGACAGTCATGAATAGCATTGGTTGATTGATTGATTTGTGGGGTTTAACGTCCCAAAACCACCATATGATTATGAGAGACGCCGTAATGGAGGGCTCCGGAAATTTCGACCACCTGGGGTTCTTTAACGTGCGCCCAAATCTGAGCACACGGGCCTACAACATTTCCGCCTCCATCGGAAATGCAGCCGCCGCAGCCGGGAATCGAACCCGCGACCTGCGGGTCAGCAGCCGAGTACCTTAGCCACTAGACCACCGCGGCGGGGCGAATAGCATTGGTGGCACCGCCTTTAGTCCCATATGCTACGATGAGACACTGATCTATTAACAGGACGTAACGTAAAACAAATGCCGGTGAACATTGTCAGCAATGACTATGTGGATAACGTACTATACTTCACTTCTCTTCAGAAAAACAACCCAAGCAACGCAGGAACGCGTATGCCAGCACAATACGTTCATAAAACAAAAACGCCAGGCCTGCGCGGTAGGCACAGTACAGTCACAGCAAAAGCTAGAAGAGTGGCATTTCAGAGCCTTTTCAGAACACTCATTGGGTAACTACTGCAAGCACACTTGCATGGTACCCGTTAGGACATTAATAATAAGCTTTTGTGTAGTAGGCCGGCATTCAGTAGGCTGCTTTTCATCATTCTTCCCAGAAGCGTGGTATCCGCTAAACACTTGTAAGGAATTTTGTGCCAATCGTCTGTGCAGTGGCTGACGACGATGCGGAATTGAGGCTGAAGTGGATATGCGGCACAGTTAATAGGGGAAAAAGAACAAGATTTTGTAATGGGTTGGAGCATTGGACAGCCCAATCGTTACGATATTCACATTGTGTGACGACTGGTTGTTCTTTCGCTGTTGTAAAACACTTTATAAGTCGTATTAATGCAATTGCTTTGCCGACATCAAGCCTGTCTAAGGCAAGTTTGCCAACACCTCACAAGCACCGGTGTAGCTCCGTGGTAGAATACTGGGCTGGCACACAGCGGACCCAGGATCGAGCCACACAGTGCCATTGGTGCTAGGTCATGCCTACCTAAGGCAAGTTTGACAAGTTACAGGCACCGGCGTAACTCAGTGGTAGAGTATTGGGCTGGTACCCAGCGGACCCGGGTTCAAGCCCTACTATGTGATTGATGCAAGGCTTTTTTTTTTCTAAATCCATGCGATGTGGTTACGGACACCGGTGGCGGCGGCGGCGGCGGACAACATGCAACTGCGCGTGACCCGAAAAGTGATCTCATAACAGCTTTCACTGTAAAAGTGTGGTTGTGCTACGTGCCACAAAATGTCACTGAAATGTTGGTATAATATCGCCCAGCGTGAAAACATTCGAATACATTCAGTGACTCGAGAGCATTATGTATCACGCTAGCACAACGCAACACGTTCAATATTATCTCTTCACATGCGCAGCCGGTCGCTGATTAAGAGACCACACGGGTTCCGCACGCGTGCTGCGTGGCTGCGAAGCTTGAGCACAAAAGGGGACCTCCCAGATCAACGCGCCTCCTTGCGTGTGGCCGTGGCTCGATGAATAGGTACACGTCTACCTAAAGACAAAGAACAAACAGTAGTTGTTCAGAAACTTGTTGGAACCCCTCGAAGCCTACGGTAGCAATGGTGGTGCTGGGTTAGAAGGTGGGCTGTCGCTGTTGTTGCAAGTGCATGACCAGGAAGTGATCGACGTGTTCTGTTACACTCGCGCATGTAGCCTTCCGACAAAGGAATGCAAATCAATGCCTGTTTTTCATGCCCTATTCAGTTCAGGCGGTAGACCACCCAATCAAACATCGTGCGCACTGGTGCTCGAAGTTGCATCAAAGTAGGGCATCTTTTTTTACTGCATTGAACATCAATAATTTCAGTAAATACACATCCTATACTCTGTTTCATATGTCCGATGTAACGCTATACTTCTTGCAGTGGTACTTCTTGCAGCAAATGCGTTAGCATAAAAAATAGCTACATAATTTTACAACCCCTGATGTCATTTATAGATAGATAGATAGATAGATAGATAGATAGATAGATAGATAGATAGATAGATAGATAGATAGATAGATAGATAGATAGATAGATAGATAGATAGATAGATAGATAGATAGATAGAT